CTACAAAATTCCCTGTACTGTACTGTACTGGTGAGCCTTTAGCACCTCATGGTGGTGTTCAGTGAAAGGCTGGACTCAATGATCTTGGACATATTTTCCAACCTTAATGATTCTGTGATTCCTTTTTTTGTGAAATGATACTTCACTGTATGATATTCACTAGCATATCATATGGATAAAACAGACCAAATACTTCTACCAAGTAAGACTTCCATATCTGCCAAAACTAACTACATTTTAAAAACTCTATGCTTGTTTGAAAAAGCTTATTTCTGCACAGTTGCTTTCCCCCTTTGTGGTACTATTAGATAATTACTGGAATCAAGAGCATGCTATTGACAGGTGCCAGCTGTCTTTACCACGTTGATGCCATTTTAACAGAAAGAGTATTTTCTGTTAGTCTGAAAACAAGGAAGAAACTGTGAGATTAGACAATGGAATCAGTTAATATGAAAAGCCCCAGCCACAAAATTATCAAGACAGTAAGTTTCTCCGAAAGCAGCCAGTGGGAAGAAGGGGAAAACACACTGGCACAAAACACACTCTCTGCTGGAAAGCAATCCGAAGAATGACAAGAGGATACACTGTCAAAAAACTAAAGGGAAGAATTTTAGAAATTTCTCCAAATATGCAAAATTGAGAGAACACAAGCACACCTCAACAACCACAATATTTAAAAAAAAATTAAATTACAAAATTAAAGTGTATGCATTAATAACAGTGGTAGAAACAAACACTAAAGTGAGAACTGAGTCCATCAGTAACTTTCCTTAAGTTTAATTACCAAGAAGTTGCCTCAGTTTCTGTTATTCATTTCAGGAGTGGCAAAGGCAAGCATGAAAGCTAACTCTGTAACAGCGTTGTCAGGTTGCTAGGAGTCAAGCAGGAATATCACTCTTCATGATGTCTGACTGCAGGGATTAAATTTTCTAATCATATCTTCCATAGTGTTAAATAGTTTGAAGGACATAAATATTTAGTCTTTAAGATGACTTGCTCGGTTCTATATGAGGCATGATTTTTTTTTCTTTCTCAAAACCAGAGGAAATCTCCTTTTATCTTCAAGGCTTGATCTTGATGCTTCAGAATGCTATACAGTCTAGGATGCCAGAAAATATCAAACAGTTATAGAACGAAACCAGTTCACAAGGCATAAAGCATAACAAATAATTTGTTTTCCACTATATGATAGAATCTTCATGAGTAAAATTTTAGGTTATTTTCTGACTGGCATCACAAAAAAATTAATTCTTGCAGTATCCAGATCTTTATATCCTGATATTCTTGGTATCTCTGCGACAGGTGATTTTGATGTCATCTCTGACACCCCAGAATACTTCATTCAAGTATACTTCAATCTACAATAAATTTGGTTCCTCAAGTTATGCCGTTGTGATTCCAGAAGAAGAGTACCAAGGCTTCTTAGTGGTTAGGACTGCTGACAGTGTTAACATACTCTCTTTTCCCATGCTACTGGGCAAGAACATAAAAAGCAAAGTGAATGACATCTATTAATTAAACTTTCTTTTAACTGAAGATTCTGGAAACAAATACTGATAATTGGTCATGGGATCTGCAGTCTCAAGTAGTTGAGAATATTATTCTAAACACTGCTTTTCCAGCGACATGTTAGTAACAGGAGCCCCTCTTGTTTTGTCATTTTGTGGAGTCACAAGAGTCAGTTATTAACACCCTGAGACAGAGAACTTAATGTAGTGAGACCTGCTCTTTAAAAAGATAAGTTATGAGCATGACTTTCCATGGTGCTAAATAAAGGCAGAACACCTTGATATCAATATAACAAAGATATGTCTACAAGCTAGCACATTTACTTTCTTTCCTTCAAGTTTAATGCATACATATGGAAAATAAGACACATCAATTTTTGACTTGAGATCAGTTTATGACAGTGCCAGAAGTGATTATTAGGTGACACTTTGGCTAAGACTCTTCTTGGCAAAATATAACAGCATGGAAAGGATTTGGCTACAGAGTCTAAAGATAATTTTCTTGCCTGTTCAAGTGCTTGAAGTGGTAACAAGAACATTCTGCGAGAGGACCAAATGTAGGTTTCCCACTTTTTGTCAAGACTAAAACTGAATAAGGGAAATTCTGAACTGTGGGGAAGCACCTACCAGACCCCTGAGCATCTTGCATTCTGAAAAGAAAAAAAAAAGTATCAAACCAATCACAGCAAGGACATTAAATACCCAACAGAAATGCTTCAAGTGCAGCTGACATAAAGGGATTCCAGCATGCAGGCCTGGGCTTTTGTCTTTTGGTCATAAAGCGGTTTTTAACTTGCATTTTATGTTTGTGTCTTAAAATACAAACAAAAAAAAGTATACAAATACATTTTCTGCAATCTTTCCACCTTTTGCAACAATAGCTTTAATACTGTTGTTGTTATACATCACTGAAGTAGCTGGAATGAGCTTACTCAGCATTTACTAATCCTGTAAGATCTATGAGCTGCAGACTCAACTCATACAATGTTAAGAAGAGCTTCAAAGGAGCTGCTAATATATGAAGTGTTCCAAGTCCTTGGAACACTTGGAATGTTAAGCATTCATAGGAAATAAAATGCTAGAAGACAATGTTTATAGCTCAAAAAGTATTTCTAGTGAAGGCAAAACAACAGGTAAACCATGGGATTTTTGAGAAGAGAATACAAACTCAGTGAAGTCCAGAACTACGGCTGGTACTTAAATATGGGTGTAAAAAAAACCAAACACCTAGAAAAACACAGAAGAAAAGATCCACTAATCTGAACAATAACCGTTATAATATATTATATAATTCACTTTTAGTTACAGATGAGTGTTTTTTGGAATGAGTAAAAGGAGAGAAATGAAAAATCCAAACAGAATATGAATAAGTAGTTATATTACTGTCTTCAAAGCACAAAACTAGCTTCTTGCAAAAAACCTCGTGTCTCCTGCCTGGAAGAGTTGGGATGGGTGGGAGGAAGGGATGTCCTAATAAAAGGAAAAAAACCTGAAATACATTACTGAAGACTTAGAGAAGATATTTCTTAGAAAAATATACCTTTATGAAAACGGGTCACTAGATCATGTAAACATTTGTAAATCAAGAGAATCATTTTAATGGTACTAGACAATACAATGGAATATACTTTGCCTAAACTCTTCTAGGACAAATCCTTCAACTGTTATAGCTATAAAACTCTCCTGGGACAAGGGAAGAGAGGATAATCATTTATAGACTAAAGAAATACTGATAAATAGACTTCAGTGTACATTACAGGATGGGGAGAAGGACTAGATGTAGTCATGACTCTTTTTTGCTTAATATATACTGATCCTATCTAGCTCTTTATTAATAACACTGAATACCAGATGCATGATTCCCAATCTCCCACATTCTCTAAACAGAGCATTGTCATTTTCTAAATGACTATTCTTTCTAAACAATATTGAACACACATTTAGGTATTCAAAGTCAGTATGTATGTATGTATATATATGTATATATAATTTTTTTAATTATTATTTTTTTAAAATTTAAGCTCACTCAACTTTTTGAGCACCTAATGCTGGAGTAGAGATACAATATTTGCCATTACACCCAGAACTAAGCTTGCCAACGAAAAGCATACACTTCATTGAAGGAAAAGGCTAAGTTAAGTAAGTTGAAAGACAGTTACTTCAATCTACTTCAGGCCACAAGGACAAAAAAAAAAAAAAGCTATGTATCCATAAATATACACACAGACACCTGTTTGTATATACATAAATATGTACACACACACATAGATCCTCTCTGTGAGGTGAAAAGTAAGCACCAGTAACCATGCTAAAAATCAGTAATTAATTGCACCATGATGTCTCCTCTCACATGTCTAATTCCCACTGAAACCTGTAATCACATCCTTGTGGAAAGATGGGTTCAATACCCTGGATGGCTGCAAGTACGTCCACTGATATGTTCTCATTTGTCAGCTCCTAATCTTGAGCCAACCTTCCTTCAAAGCTGTTTAAAATAAACACAATTCCTAAAGTACATGCAGCACAATTGCCAAATCCTCTCTCTAATAATTACCTTGTAACTTGGTGCATACAGCTTAAAAAATGTTTTGTTTTCTTAGACTCTAGAACAACTAAAACATCTCCCTAAGGTCCACCTAAAAAACAGATTTCCATTTTAGTCCTATAGTTCTTTTTGCTTTTCCAGCCTGTCTTTTACACAAAATTACAAGCAAGCTAAGAATGATTCAGATTTTTTTGAAATTTCGGAGCCATGTTTTAAACACAGATCAGTCGCAGTGTTAACACTAACTCATTGAGATAGCCAAGACTATAAACTATATTTATAAACCTACAGAAGAATATGATAATGGCTATGTCATTATGCAAACCAAAGTAATTTGTGTCTCAACATCTGCTTCTTCAGGAAGTAAGCAAAGAGCAGTACACAACCAACACTATATTCAACAGCACACTTTATACCCTCTTGTCCCAACAAGATATGCTGAGAATCCAGAGGTACCTTTAAAAGCAATGTACAATCCTGTCTCACAGCAAAGCACATGCCGGCAAGTACAAGGAAACAAGAAGCAGAACACCTTCAATGTAGGTCAGTCAAACACTGACGCCCGCACCTAAGGGCCCACATGTCTAATTCTTTAAGTTAGTTGAGAGGGTGGGTGGGTAGGATAGAAAGCTTGACAAGCCCTTCCAGTTCTAACAAATTAAATGCAATCAAGGTTAGTATTTTTGTACAATTGTTTCCTCTTTCCTTCTTGGGAGTGCCCAAAACCGCAGGTTCCAATCCTTAGTGGATGGCAAAAAAACCTGTCTTTCAAAAGGCTTTTTAAAAGTTTATTTTTTAAGTATCTCCATGGTAATACATAATAAATATATGCATGCAGGTATTTATTAAAAATACCACCACCAATCGATGTTCACTCCCCTGTATCCCCCATTTCAGGCAAGCAAGCTCCTGTTCCTCCAAAACACGGCGGCATTTACCTCACTAACCTTGGGACTGCCTTCCTCCAGTATTTCTCCCTCATCAGTTTGCATGGGAACAGGATCTGTGCAAAGCTCTGCAGAAATGCAAAATACTGCCTAAAAGGTAAAAAAGAAAAATATATTTTAAAAGCAATGATTTTTCTGCCTTTAACAGTATTATGTGAGATTGCAGCGCACATAAATAGCATTCTAGGCTATGACCTTTAATGTTGCCATTCTGCACATATTCACTGAAATTATATGTTTTACACAAAGAAGTAAGACAACTGTTATTCAGGATAAGACATAACTACTTAACTAAAAGAAAAAAACCCAAAACAGCAAACAGGAATATACTTTAATTTTAAAGTGTCATTGCTGAGTATTTAACATAGTCACTGTTTTTACTCATTCAGGCTACAGTCACTAAGGAAAGATCACACAGACTAGAGCTGAGCAATCCTAGCACTCAGTAGGAGATTGCTTTTGTGCAAATATAAGCTTCACATATTCAGTTTACAGACAATCTAAAGGTTATTAGTTTGAAAAATTGTTAGACTTCCAGTGATCCCACAAAACTTCTGAAGTCTTACTTTAGGGAATTTTTCCCTGACTTCATTTTAAAAATAAATACATTCTAGAATCTACATGATTCAGGGAACTGATAAAGTCGTTCACCTTCAGGTCAACATTTCCAATCTAACCCAGGTCAACAGCTCCCACGTGTTTCCAACATTCAACACTACCTGGTAACTTATTTTTAAATTTGTTTGACAGTGTCAATGCAGTTCCAACTGAACAAAATCTACACACCAAACTCCATTCTTTGAATTGCAAAATTACTTATGGAAGAATGCAATATAGTTAGGGAGATTTGGGTTACTAAGATTAGAATGTCTTTACTCCAGAGGATAAGCCATCTTTCAGAAGTAATGGATCAAATTAGTCAACTTAGGAGATCAAACGCACCAGCATAAATTCAGCTGGAATCTCTCACTCACAAAATGCAAATGTAAGCCATGAGCAGATCTGTAACATTCCCAGGTATGTTGAACATAAGGGCTCACACTGAGCTGTTGGCCTTTAACAGCTGTCCCTCTCAAGATGATGTAACTCTTCAACTGCACCAGCATTTAAAATCCATTTCAAGTCTCTTCATTTCTGCACCTCAGCTACAGAGTTGCTGACTGTCACCTTCACAGCAGCAATTCTAAGCCTGGAAACTGACAGCTTTGGGAGTGCAAACAGCAATGAAGTCAAAAAGAGAAAGCTTGTGCATCATCTAGATGCACCTCCTTCATTTCAGTGTTAAAGCCTGTTCATAGGGTAAGGCTGTTTGCACTGCCAACCTCTTCTGTATGTTCCACACAGCTGGACAACATCTGTCACGGCCGTTGACTCAAGGAGCAAAGAACATATTCTACAAACATAAAGGGCCCGAAACTACAAAATGTTACATGTAACTCATTAAATCTTATAAACAACTAACTGTTATGTTCAGTAATATCATACATTCTCATGCAAAGCATGTGAGCTATAAAGACTTACAGTGTAGTAATTTCTGGGAAAGGAGGAATGAGGATAAAAACTCTCACCCAAATCCTCACTAAATATTCTGTCTGCAGCATATAATCAAAAATCAGAAGTATCAAGTGCTAAACATGATCTCTACACCAAGATCCTCCTGCCTCTAACAAGTCTTTCTTTCTGTTCTGTGCCCGCAGTGCAGGAGGCTGGGCCAGGCAGTCTCTGTCCATGGTACTTCTTCACCACAACAGGTTTCTGAAACCCCACTCCAGAACTTCTAGAGCTGGGAGTTTTGGAGCATGATTTTGCAGTATCAGAGTCAAGTAATTGGGAAGCTCCACAGAATGTCAGACAGATAGTTTGATGTCTAATGGCCAAAACAGCTTTGGCCAGAAGGATTGCTATGGCACTGAACTGGCCTCAAAAATCAGAGATACGAGCAAGACTGAGCTTGACCTATAGAAGCATTAAAAAAAGCTTATAAATAAAACAAGACCACTCAGGTCTGGCCAAGAGCACTGCAAGGAGAAGTGAGTTTTCATTCAGAGTGCTGGAAGAACTCAAACACAAATCTCTGAAAAACCGCCATGTTTATCTTCTGAGATATCACTCACTACCAGAGGAACTGGCAGTATTTGACACTAGTTTTTATATACTACTCCTGGGAAAAGACAAAAAACTACATCTTAAAGGAGGAAAAAAAAAAGGCAGTAGAACTAGGAAATTAAAAAAAAAAAAACAACAACAAAATTAAGCAAGCTCTTCCACTGAGGTCAGATTAAATAGACTGGAACTATCCACAGCTCAGAGATAAGAGAATGAAATAGAAAAATAAAAATTATAAAAAAGGAAATGCAACAGAGAAGAAAAAGAGTTTATTCACTCTTCATTTGTTCCCATAATTAATGTTTTATCAGCTTTAATGTTTAAAATACATACCATATTATTTCATACAATGCTCAGAGTGAACTCACACAGGATGGCAAGAAGGTAGAAACTTTAATAGGTTTAGTAATTTACCAGAAAACTTGGCAAGGGGAAAAAAAAGTCCATGAAAAAAATCTTGTGGCTGGTGCAGGAAAACCCTAAGCCACAGACTACAAGAGGTGTTGCAAGAGGAAGGTTTGCTGAACACTATCATTTTATTGGGTTTGGGGTTTTGGTTTGTTTTATTATTGCATTTGCTTCTGGGTTCTTTCAGGGGACAAAACATCAGGCAATAAACTATGAGCCCAATTCAATACTATAATTTTTACATTCTTTTTGCATATATGAATCACAAATTCCCTCAGCCATTGGCACAAGAGTGCTGCATCGCAAGTTTATTTATTGCCAAGAGCAAACATTTTGAGATTCCTGAATCAATGGGAAACTTATCTCCATAGCAGACTTTTAGAGTAGTCATTTACAACCCCCAGGGTGATTTCTCAGCCAACAGACCAACTGCTTACTGACAGCATGTGAAGAAATAACATCATTATTCCAGTTGTTGACACCACCTCTTCAGTTCACTAGCTTCTGACCAGAGGGCTGAAGGTCACACATAGGGTAATTTATTTTATACATGGAGGATAGACAGTAAATAAGAACTAGTGTCCTACAGAATTGGGAAAATGTCAAAAGCGTAAAGGTATTTATTCACTCATTTTCAATGCTTATGTGTTATGCCAGGTTCCCAGGTGATAAAAATAAAGTTTACAGATGCTCATTTAGATTTTCAGATTCAACACTTAACAACAAAGTCACTACCGGAAAAGGTCAAAAGTAAGATGATTCTCTTCTTCCACTTTTGCTTATAGCCATCAAAACTACTTCAGATGTTACTGAAAACCCCCAATCTTTTTATTCACTTGATATCTTTCAGAAAAATTAACCAACTTCAACTTGAGTGAGAAGGCCCAGGAAGGTCTGACAAACAGCAACACACAGATATGTCCGCATACAATGTAGCAAATGCATGTCTAAACTTAGGAACAACTTTTATTTAAACTATAATACAGCGATAAGAATCTACTCTCAAAAGTTAAAAGATACCTTAATATGAACTAGCTGGATTTCTTATGAACTTTAATGCCTACTACACTACTGTCCTGTTATAACAATACGGTTTTGGGACAATCCAGTTTAATATTTAGTGCTATTTATGTTCTGTCTCTTTCTGCAGTAAGGATGTACACATTTTGTTGGGTGGTACCAGCCACAAACTCAGTGTAAGCTGAACAGTGCAGACCACCTATCTCTTCACTACTGCATTCTAACACATTCTGTCAAGTAAATCCTGAGCCAAATTTCCATACACTTATAAATCCTTACCACTGAAATCAATACCAGTGAACAAAGTACTTCCTCTAGGCCTAATTTTCCCCACACATAGAAAGGTCCATCATTGAAAAACACAAGGTCCTCATTAGCAAGAGAGAGCTGGAATTCACATTTCTTCAAATTTGTTTTCATCAAACAGGCATTGCTGGCATTAAGCACCTTATCTAATACAAGGGCCTCACATGCAACAACACTTCTTTTACAGATCGCCAGCAGCAATCAAATATGGACTAAAGAGAAAAACTGTTCTTCATTTGATAAAGAAGAAAAAACTGTTTCAAGCTTCTTAGGAGTCCAGCTGCAAGAGAAGCACTTATTAATGTGAAATCAATTGTTATTCCTGTGAATTCTCAAGTCTAAGTTGGATATGGTCCACTGGAAAACCCCTGATGGACAGTAAGGCTGCGCAAACTATCACCATTACAGACACGGAGCAGAAATTGAAGGTAGGTCCCAAACAAGAGCGCAAAGCAAAACAGACACAAACAGGCACACAAGTGCTCTTCCAAGGTGATGATCTTGTGTACATGGCAAACTTTAAAAAAGAGCAGTTAGAAGAAGGCAGTACTTTACTCAACTGTGCCTTAAATGAGACAGTGCTTATTTGACAGAACTGCATCAATACACAATTGCTATCGCCAGTCTCTGGGTACACAGACAACAAAGTGTTCATTTTTAACAGATGATCAAGCCATATTATATTTAATTGCTAAGCTTTATATTACATTGAGTCTGTTGAGAATGTACAAATGCAACATTAACATGGAGAAGAACAGAATTTTTTTAATCTCAACTTTAAATGCAAGTTGAGATGAAAGCAAGAGCATCCAGAAGAAAAAAGAACTGGAATGTAACTTCATTACTTACAGGAAATAATCACCAATTCCAGGGACTTTAAAAATCTCACTGTAAATTGAGTAATTTTCAAAGATTATACATCATACACATCAACTTTAGCTGAAAAAAATCAAATCATATCACACGGTGAAATAAAAAACTTCACACCCAAACCCACAGGAAATAATACACTAGAAAGTATATGAAAACAGCAATATATCCTACAGTTGGTTAAGAACTAGTATAGGCAACTGTTCTCACCTCTAACTTGCAAGATCGCAATATTGAACTTTGGTTGATTTTTACCTTTGACAGTTTCCAAGGGCTGCCAAAGCCCACAAGGATCCGTCCTGGCTACATTCAGTGCAAAAACGAAAACCTAAAAGGAGATAAAAAAATATTTAAGACATCAACCAACTGTGGGCATTAGTAGATAAAAAACATAAAAACAAAAGTTAATTGTCTCCAAAGTTCAGCAAATCTTACTCTCAAAGGATTTAGAAAAAGCCATATTCATCTCAGTAAAATCAAGTGGGATAAACAAAAATTCGAAGGTCAAAAGAAGCAATACAGTCCCCTCTCCCTCCTGTAATTTATGCAGTACTGGGGAAATGGGGGAAAGAGCTACAGTTAGATTATGGGTTCCTATTCCTGACAGAAAAAAGCCATGTGCCAGTATCTATATAACTTTTAATAAATATAAGACAAGAAAAGACCGATCATTCTTCTCCTGTTACTTCAACAAATTTAGGCCTAACAATACAGTAACGATGTTAATTAGCAAAGAGGCACAAGAGAGTAGAATCCAGCGAGAATAATTTGGATTGAAGACAGGACACTACCTGTAGCTGAGCCGGACTATTATGGTGTTACAGCAAGGAGAATCTCAGTGTCTGCCATGTCAGAACAAAATTTAAATATCATGCATGCATCTCCCCCTAATTCAAATCCTCAGGATTTGAAGCGAGGCTTTACGATGCATCAACCTGCTTCTTGCCTGGACTGCATAGGAAAAATTTTAGCCAGGAAAGCAGATACACTTCTATTAGGTAGCCAGAGGGGAGGAAAAGGAAAAACAAACAAGAAATAACCCACCCACCCACAATTTATGCACCATTCCTCTGAGAGAACAAAGTGGGGGACCACCCCCCCCCTTCCTCCAAGTACTGTGACAGTTCCCAACCAAGCATTAATCAACTAACTACAACAATTACTTTTGAGTTCAGGCACTCAGGCAGACAGAGATCTGTCTGAGACAGAGACTTGGTCTCTGTTACCTTGCAATAGCAGAAACAATTCATTGTACCTACATATTCCTGGCTTACATATATAAAGCCCTGCCCTGACAGGCTAGAACTGTATGCACAGACAGTGTACCACCTCAAATACTCTGTATGTATTTCTGGTTCCAATATAATCAAGTGCAGCAATTTTCTTAGCCAGGTTATGAAATCTATGAAGCAGCAGAATATCCTGTACAGAAGCAGGACTCCTAAACTGGCTTTTTTCCCCCATCAAGTATTTTTTACAGTGCTGCACATTATTTCACACTTGCTCACCGAATTCTTTACCTACAGCAAATACCACCTTTCTGGTCACCTCACATACACTGCCTCTGTAGGAAGATCAAGACATCCCAGGTGCACGGAACTGAAAAATACAGGTTGCCATCAGGAAAATATTTTCTTAAAATTCTCCCCTCAACCTCCCATCCAAATCTGGAAAAACAGTAAACACTGGTAGCATGTGTGACAGAATCTCCTACTGACTATGAGATACAACAGAACACTAGGAGGCTCTAAAAACATAATTTCTATTCACAACTGGGAAAAAACAAGGGGTAAAACTGGTTTCTTGTATAAGAACTGAGAGAACACACACAAGTGTATTCAAGGAAAGTGATTATGTAATCCTACAATAATTCCTGAATATTGAATATTGTGTGTAAAAATGAATCTCATTACCTACCAAAAGTCAGGTATTTAATCCTATTTTGAAATAATAACATAGCAGCAGCACTGCACTGGCTAACACTCAAGCCCATTTCAAATCATTCATAGTCTGTCTTAACCACAGCTATCATTACATACTTCAATTTTGGTTTTGCAAAACGTAACCAACTTCCAGGAATGAAAAGAGGTCCAGAACTACTGGCTTACCACTATACATCCAAGTTAACATCACTAAACCCTAAATTATTCCAGTTGCCATTATTCAGGCACTATAAGAAAAGGGTTTGTTGTGAAGGTAACAAACAGGTGGCATTTTTCTAAATTCAATGCATCATCTTCTTGGCTACCACTCATGCTTAATGTACAGCATTGACAAACTGTTCCTGTCTTTGGAACAAGCTGTCATAAACTGAGTATTCTTCTTCTGATCTTCTAGCATTAACTAAGAGCTTTCTGGGAATGATTTCCATTTGAATAAGTTTTGATTAGAAACAGTACATTAGGTGATAAAAAGAAGTTTTTGCTCCCACTGTGGTTTAACTGTCCCTTTATTAAGTGGGTAAATGCTTTACAGAAGCAAATTTTAAAATTAAACTTATTTCTGACTTATCCGTGGGATGATTCTGATAAAGCAACCAAGAGCACACTCTGCTCAAAAGGCCTCAAGCTGTCTAAAAACAAACCAGCTGCTGACAGAACTACACAAAACCATCACGTATCCAATAAGGATATTGGGAAGTTGGCCTAAAGTCACTCACAAATTCAAAAAAATACAGAAATATTTTGTGTTTTTCCATGTACAGCACACTGGCAGTGTAACTGCCATGATTTATTATAAAAATTATTCAAGACAACCCAGGTCTCACTATGGTAGTTCTTTTCTGCTTTACTTCACTTTTCAAGACTTTTGAAGAGGGAAACATAACTTGTAATCAATTAGAAATAATTTGGTAGAAGGAGATAGGCTACTGGTGCTTCAGAGAGGATTTATAACCTCTTTATTTCACATGGTTTAGAACAATCTCTTTCCATTACTTAAGTGGAAGGAAATCCAAGAAGGATTAGTACTTCAAGGAAAAATGAACTAAAGATATCATTCTAAACAAAGCAGCTGAGAGGAATGGGAAAGTGCAGAAATCTTCAATCTCTTACAAAAAAAAAAAAAGCAGAGAATGGCATTGAGGAATGGTGGTCACATACTCCACAAAACGACTGTGGTGTTCTACAGCAAAACATGACATGGGAAAAAGCGTCCATTATGTTTTAATTCAGTGTTGGCTGCACAGATTCATATTTTGTTCAGTATTTTTTCTCTGCAGTGATGTTTTTGGTAATACATGTAAAATGGTTCAGTGTTAACGTAGATATAACACAGTCAGTTTTAGCAAGATAAATAACTGTAACTTGGAATACATATCATATACATTAGTCTGTACTGCTCTTCTAAGGCAACATGAGAATAGAAGGACTATACCAAAATTAAAGACAAAACACAAGTCCCACTTCACAGCACCAAAGTCTTTTTATACCAACAGCTCAAATATAAATTAGCAAACCACTTTTATAAAATAGAACACTCCTGAAGATGTCAGGTTTTTTTTCTAAATGGACAATTAGAGAACATCATCTGCTCAAGAAAATACAATCATTAGTGAGTTTGGGGTTTTTTATCATTAAAGAATGTTTCCATTTTTGACTCAGTGTTAAGGAGGAGATGAGAAACACGCAAAAGGATGCTCCTCAAATGGTCCAAAAATCAGACTTCTTATTTACAAAATCCTGTTTCTAGCCTTTGAGTCCAAAGACAGTTTTGAAACATAAACTGGAGACAGAATATTGCATTGCCACCTTCCCAATGTTCCAAAACATTTACATAAACAACATTTAAGGTGCTAAATGTTCCTCTTCCCACTAAGGGAAAAGCAAATTGAAAAGTCTGTTTTAAAAAATGTTTTGCTTACACCTTTTTGCCACTTTCTACTGCACAAAGCAGCACAAAAATCCACTTCTCTCCTGCCCATACTACAGGAACTGTTAAAGTTTACAGTGAAAATAAAAGGTATTTGTCTCTACTTTGCAGCAGCAGACTATTGTACACTACATAGACTACACATTACTTCTCGACTGTGATCAAGGTTATATCCCAACTATAATCAGCCCAAGGCTGCCAACTGGTTAAGTTTTCCAAAGTCCTTTATGCTTTGTCCCACTCTGTGGGACTTTTCATTGTGACTGAAGCATATATGCACACACACTTTACATACATATACACATAATGTGTGTACATACAACATTTATATGAACAAAACGTCCTCAAAATTATTTCTGGGTTGTTTTTTTTTATCTTCAAGGTCTTTAACGCTCTAGCACAACGTTTATGGAAACCATCAAACAGAGGTTGTTGGGAGTACCCTATATCTTAACTGACTGACAGTGCCTTCTTGACAGTCAGCACCACAGTAAGAGTTATGGTGATCAGGACTGGAGCACTAAGGAATTAAAACATAGTGCGTTGAGAATTGGCTGGTTTTGCCACTCCATATCAAAGTTCTACCCAGCCAAGAGATTTTTTTCGACGAAGTTGGAAACATACTATCACTATAGAAACCCCCCATCCCCGCTCTTTGCAATTGTTTATCTCCGATTCTATCAGGTCTTGCATTATATCGGTTTTCAGGCACAAAAAAGGGCTACTTTACACTGCTAGTGCTACTTCTACTTGATAACGGTAACAATGCTTGGAATCCCAATGGTACAAAAGGAGGCATTACCATAAGTATTACAACTATCACGTTATTTGATGGTGCCCCAGTGGCAAAAAATGGGAGGCAATCAACATACTCAAAATGCCAGCAATCCATGTATACTAGCACTCCTAATGATTCAGCACTGCTGCAGCAACATCAGTGCAAAGGCAGCAAGCCTTTATTTCAGGACACATGCAAAATGACAGAAAGTTTTCAGAATACAGAAACCCAGAGTTTTCTAGAGGACAGATGAAGAGAACGAGAGTGGATGTTATACTAGACCAGAGAGTTGAAGCATTTTTCTCCATCTTAAGCAAAATGTTGTGATGAGAGAGAAGCCTACTTCTCAACAGCTCAACTTTAAACCTGAAAGCTATAAATAACTCCTGTACTGCTGATAATCCCAACAGAATCATCCCATCAGATTATTCATACCACAAAAGTCAACTCGGGATCGAAGGTTTCCTTTTGAACCACAAGTAACAGTCATCAAGTCCTATACAGCAGTATGTTTACCAAAACCAGCAGTAGTAACTAAATTAAAACTGATAAGGTAGTAAGCAGTCACGTGCACAGGAAAGGGAGAAGGGTGGCTTGCTCAATGACAGCAGCAATTATGAGAGTTAAAGACAGCACTACTAAAGACCATTCACAGGCAAGACAGGATTGGAAGATACTGC